GGAGTTGGTAGAGACAGCACAAGCTTTTATCCTTTTCATTTCCATGCTGTTTGACTGTTTACCTTCAGGGCAATACCTGTCTGATGACAGTCAAGTCTTCAAGTAATGCCGAGGTTGTGCTGTTTTGAGGAAATTTGTCCCATTCAGTAAGGGCACCGAAGACATCAGCTGAACTGTCAAAACTTGTTGTTTTCATTATGTTTATAAACTAATTTTGCTTTACTTTGTGGAAAGTAAAATTGGTTATTGCAGTTTCATTTATACAATGTGCTTTCTGTAATTTTGAAAAACAGCTGGTAGATTGACCTCTGATTAAATGGTTCAAGGCATGGGGAAAGAGCATATTCAGACAATGATTTTTGTATTCATTGTAGCCTATTTTTGTTTGACAGGAAGGAAAACTGAAGGAGAGGTCACCAGTATGCTTAGGGGGAGAAGCCAGAGAGTTTCTGAAGGACCTCAACCAAAGTTAAACAGCATGTTAAATGCTGGTGTTCCAGCTCAGCAAGGGGCTGAACGTGATATCACTGTTGAAATACACAGGGCTGGAAAAGGGGAGAGGGATGAGACAGTAGTATTTGTGTTACAGATGGGGAATTATAAGGTGTAGAGACATTTACTGTGTTAGTCTGAAGAAGACCTGGGACCTGAATCACAGCTGTTAAAATTGTCTTGCCTTTAATGCACCACTGTGAGTACTGTGCTCAGGCCAGTGAAAAATATTAAGAGATGCACCTTTTAATTCTGGAATTAGCTACATAATACTGGTTCCATGAGATGGTCTGGTCCTATGGCTACTGTCAGAAGTTCCATGTAGATTTTAATTTCTTCCCAGTTGTTCATACTGCTTCTCCACCAGCTTTGATGTGACATTCACTTTTCTAGCAGGATTGGTCCTATGCTGTTAGGCAAACTCTGGATTCTTTCACTGTTGATTGCAAATCTAACAGAAGCCAGCGTGGCTCACGAGTGTTTATTTCTTTGTTTGTACATTGGCATTATCATTGAATTTTGCCAGTAAGAGAGTTTGCCAGGACTGAGCACAAAATGTAAAAGGAGTTTGCCAGGACTGAGCACAAAATGTAAATGAAAGTAGATGTATTGTTGGAAACACTGGTAAACAGTTTCTGCACGGCTGTACGTCAATGCAGACTTGGGGGCATATGATGAAGTTACTCTTGTTTTGCTATGAGAGCTCTGAAACATGCTGCATGTTCACTCCCTGAATAACCCATAGGCTGAATCTAAAAATCACATTTTTCATTAAAATAGCCTTGTTTGTGCCTCTTGCCAGTCGTGATTGTCTGGCTGAGCAGGGACATGGGCTTTGACACCACGTGCATGAGGGCTGCCTGCAGGAGGTTGAAATTCTAGTTTCCGACCTGATTTATAAGTGGTTTATACTTTAAGCTTTCCTGTTTAATAGTTAAATAAACTGTTTAATGTTTAAAAAGTAAAATTCTTCTGATAATTAAACCAGTATGCAGGAAAAAAGCTGAGCACAGCCACATCTTGGCCGAGACTTTCAGTGTGTTCCCACAGTTCAGATCCCAGTTCTGCTACGAATCAGCTCCTGGTGGCAGAGCACTGTCGAAAGCCCGTGCAACCCAGTGCTGTGAGCACTCACCTCATGATTGTATTTTTATATCCACTTGTCTGCTGTTCACGCAAGAGACTCACAAGATGGTGGGGACCATGCTGCAGGGAAAAATACTGAATAGTGTTGGGGAGACAGATACACAGCCTGGCAGAATTTTCCATCTGCTTATCCCTGCTATTGCTGTGTTACTGTGTAAATCCTAAACTGGAAGATGATTTACACAGACCACATGTGCCATCTTGACTCTATATTCTGCCCTGGAATACACCGTGTTCATGGTGCTCTGACACTCTGGAAATTTTAAGGGTACCAAATAGTGACAGTCATCAAAACAACCTACTTTTAGCTATCAAGGAAATCTGGCACTTTCATACTGCCTGTGGGTCACATCACTAAGATCTACACTTGGTTCTAGGTAAAACAGTGGGTTTTTTTTTCCTTTTTACTATAAATAATGCAGCACAGGAGTGGGAGTCAAGGGAGTCAGAAAGTAAGAACCCTGCTGATAGAAGCTCCTTACCCTGCAGCAGCCTTCTACAGGTTATCAGGAAAAGTCTTTCCTCTTGCTGCATTCAGAATGTCTTAGAAAAATCTTGCAACAACATATCGTAGGGTAATCATAAAGAGAAGATGACAGCATGTATGTGGCAACTAGCCAGAATAAGAGGGTGAATTGCATACTTTCTGTTTGTTTCTGTGATGTGTACAGCATCTTCAAAAGCAGGGTAATAAGTTTTTATAGCTGTGAGAGGCAGAGATGAAGTTGAGTGTGTAATTCAGCCTCAATGCTATCAAGGTGAATATTATGAGCAGCCCATAGCAGAATGGCTGCAGCTTGAAGTAGCAAAACAATACAAAGTGTTTTTGGGGAGGGGAAAAAATCCCTAATCAAAAAAGCAAGTGCGTGTGGATGGAGATCAAAAAGCAAGGCTATAGATGGAGATCCTGGCTGATTAAAAAGCTGCAATGTTAGTGAAGGGTGTTGAAGTGGGCAAAATAAAAAAAACATTAATCACCAAGGAGTCTGTGTAAAAGCAAGGTACGGATTTGATCAGCCTCAGAATAGTTCACATGTGAAGATGGGAAAAACAAGTAGGCAAGCAGAAATGGAGATAGGCAATTTTAGGAGCTCCTGAGAAAGGGTGAAGGGTGTTACTGTCTTGAAAATTGCTGTTGGCTGCTTTGTGGCAGTGTCTTCTAAGCTCATTAGCAAATTAATGATGATTTTACTGGCACAGTTACTTTGCTGAATATTTTCTTGCATTTAGCGTTTTTGTTTACTCCTACTTTATTGGAAGGGGTTGTTCAGGAATGCTAGTTCTTTAAAAAAAACCCAACCAAACATATAGACCCCTAAATACTTTCTGCCATGCAGCCATGATCCAAAAATGACCATCAGTGATTCCATCTGGATTTCTCTGCTTTTTGAGCAGAGGCCTCCCTGCATCATATACCCTGCTGTTTATAGAGGTGGCTGTACATATGGCATGGAATCTTGGCCAGGGTTTGAAACTGCCTGTACTATGCAGGCACAGTGGGAGCCTTAGGAATTGAACTTGGTTTATGGAAGTTTTCCATGGGTCTTGGAGATGCCCTGGCTTTCTGTGGCCAGAAAAGGTTGCTAAGCACAGAGGCTGGGAAACAGCCAGGTGAGGTACTGGTAGCAAACAACCTCTGTTTTATTAACATAGTTGATTAAAAAAAAAGGTCTTTGCTTGCTTTGCTGAACAGTACCTTGTGAAATACCTGAGGTTTCCCTGTGACCCTTTTACAGTCAGGAAGCACAGGGAGCCCTAGTTATAATTAACTATTGCATGAAATATACCATGTAGTACTCATGTTAAAATAGTGAGCAATTCAGGTGAAAAAGGATCTGATCTCTAGCCTAGAGGAAGATCCTGTGATCGAGAAAGAGTGATCTTAGAAGATTGTTTCTTTTCTTTCTAGAATAGGCTTTCCTGCATGAGTGACAATAATTATGTGTGGTGGTGTTTATTCTGGCTTTCCTAGATGGTTAAAATCCTGCTGATTTTTACATCCTATATTGGCCCCTGGTAGGTAGACCCTTCTCTCCAAGCATTGCTTACAAGAAGCAAACCTGAATCTGCTCTTTGCCTCTTATATCTTATGCCTGGAAATGCAACTGTGAGGTTTCTTTTGTCATCGTTGAGGGTGTAGGGACAGTCTGAAAACTCATGTGCAAGCTCCCTGCAGGCTTGAGCCTGGTGACGCTGGAGTCTCCGTCTCCTGTTTGCCATGTACCTCACAGCTGGAGGAGTCATCTTTTTATAACCAAAGTGAAGACTGCGACTGAAATATGGTGCCTTCAAGGAGGACGTGTTATAACATGCAGAAGCCAACTGCTTTGTTCTGAGCCCTCCAATTGGCTTATACTCAAATGTCACTAACATCGGTGTCTTGACTCCTGTGAAACGAGAGTGGTAGATGCTGTCTTGTTACATGGAAGTTAATTGCTATCACTATGGTCTTTTCAGCAGCCTCAGCAGAACTGCCAAAAATATAGAAAGGCAGGGCTGACTGACAGTTTTGTTCCTCAAGGTGATCTGTGTGGATAGATGTCAGGGAAAATTGACAGCTACATCAGAAGGGTCATTATCTGGGATCATCTTCTTCTGTGATGTGCAGGCTCTGATCTCTCAAGCAGTTTTCATTAGTAGTTTATCTACTGCAGGAATTAGAAAAGTACAGTTCTATGCAGTACAACTTACTGCTATCCACAGCCGATGGCCTGGTCCTGATGGCTTGTTCTTTCCTGAATTCTTGCTTCTTGCTTCACATTAGAGTGATTGTCAGCAGGCTCAGGACAAGGCAAGGTGAAAGGCAGCTTGTAAAGGATTTCCCTGGCATGGGAAGATTTGCAGGCTCGACCAGAGCTCCCAGAGCTTGCCTCTTGAAGCTGGGCAGAGGCTGATGTAGTTGCTGGGGGGGATGGTGCTGCCTGTTTGCAAAGAAGGGTAAGGTCAACCAAAGTAGTCATGCTCTTGATTTGAGACTCTGTTATTATGGTCATGGTCTAGACACAGTTGGTTGTTCACAAGTCCTGCACAGAACCAGCAAGACTGTTGTGCGCGCTCTTTGTACGTGCATGGAGCTCTTCTTTCAGAAGATCACAAAAAACTTTGTATGTTCAAGTACTGACTTTGTAGATGAAGCACAGAAATAGCGATCCCCAAAGATTAAAAAGCTAATCAGAGGCAGAGCAGATAACTTAACTAACACTCTTGTCAGCTGCTTTGTCATTTTTCCTAATGGGTGTTTGTGAAAAAAACAACATTAAAGTAACATTTACAGATGGCTGATTTTGAAGTGTAAACATCTAAACTTGCACATTAACTGTTCTGCCTACCATTGACCAACTTTTTGATATGTTTGTTTCCAGGAACACCTGTCTGGTTCTTTGTGAAAATTGCTCCAATTCGAAATGAGCAGGATAAAGTGGTTTTATTTCTTTGCACTTTCAATGACATAACGGCTTTCAAGCAGCCCATTGAGGACGATTCATGTAAAGGTTTGTCTTTTTCACAATTATCTATTTATGCTGCTTCTGTTTGTTTGCTCTGAAAGAGCTGAAGTCCTTTAAATACCAAAACTGAAGAATTAGATGTTAAAATAGCCTGTAGCTATACCACTGGGGACTGCATTTGTGCGAGGAATGGTTGCTGGTTTCTTAGGCGAATTGGCTCTGGCCTGCACCGGAAAGGATCATTACTAATGAAACCCCCAAGTGCTTCAGGAAGCAGAGTTTACTTAGCAAATAGGTTCTGCTCTTCCTTTAAAATTCATTATTAATCCACACTCCATCGTAGTCTTCAAGTAGTCACAGTGTTGCTAAACAACCTCTTTGATGTCAGAGGAAACTGAAGGGTCTTGGGCCCTGCACAAATTGTGCATGACACTGTGTGCAAAACCTGAGACATTAACCCTGTCTGAGTCTAGGAAAGTTCTCAGTAATTTCATTCTGCCTGACTTACTCTTATTTATTATTATTATGGGATTCTTAATATAAAGTTCTGGACTAGTTTCCTGTAATGTATGTGAAGAGATTCCCATTATCTTAAGATGGATGGGGTTTAAGCTGTCCTGGTGAGTGCAGTAGCATTGCTGTGTATTGCTGTTAACCCTTTGCTGAGTTACACCCTGGAAACCTGGAAGCAAACTCAGTTGTGACAGTGCAAGCTTGCACTCAAGCTCAGATTCTGTCAGAAACAGACGTTTTGTACCCATATGGAGAATTACAGAGACTTGCGTCTTCTGGGGTAAAAAAAGACGTAAGCTCTCCTGTTGTTTGCATTTTTGTAGTATTTAATAATATTTGTAGTATTAAATTAAACAGGAAACTTACCGTGAAGGTGAACTGATTTACATTTTTTCTCAAAATGTTATTCTTTAAAAATGTACTTTCTCAAAGTGGAAACACCTGTTACCATAAAAAAGGAAGTACAACCTTGAGAAACTTACCCTCTTCCAGCCTATGTGGATTATTATTTTCTCTTTTTAATGCTATTTGTTTGGTTCTTCATTGCTTTAATAAAACTAAAAAATGTATCTTGTCGGAAAGGTTGGGTCTACAGCATCTTTTTCCCTGCCTAGTGGACTTCACTGTAACCTGATGAGGACTGACAGCAGAGATAAATCAGCATGATGCAGTAAAGCTGGCTTTCGTTTATTTGCTGGGAGTGAAGGCCCTTGCTGCATTTAGTCAGTTGATAAGTAGGACTTTCAGTCAGGGGGTTTGCTGTGCCTTTTCTCTTTTTCTCTTTGCTTTCAGACCAGAGGTTTAATGTGATAGTGGTGTGCACTCTTGTGAAAAGAGTTTGTCCTTCACTTTTGACACAAGGAAACACTGTAACTTTTTTGTTTTCAAGAGAAGTATGTTAAAGGAAAAGAACCTTTTTTTTTTTTTTTTTCCCCCAATCTCCTTTGGATCTTGGATTTATGCTGTTCTTACAGTGATGATGGTAATTCTTAGCAATTCTGTATCTAAAGCAATATAAGCACTGAAGCTACACATAAATGCACCATGTTGCAGAGGAGTTAAAATGATAATCACAATTTCTTCATCTAGCCCACGGAAACTGGCTAAGTGACTACCAAAAGTTGCAGACAGAGCAGAAGAATGGGGCATATTATTTAAAGGCCACTGACTCCTTCTCTGAATGCTACTGCTTTATAGTCATAGAAGAGTTCATGCACTGAGTCTTCCAAATATTGTTGCTGAATATCCTAAAATTAATGAAGTTGCACGAGTTTCATGCTGGTAAAGCAACTCTGTTGCTGTGCACACAAAACAAACGTGATATAAAGGAAACTGCATGTTCTGTCTATCTCCTACACCTGCCTTTGTTCCATAAGTTACTTGCTGTAGGCTAGCTTTGGAATTTTGATGCATGCATCTCAGCAAGTGATATTGTATCTGTCACTTGATGGTTAGATGAGCAATTTCTTGGAAAAGAGGAGCTGATTTGTCAAACAATTAAAGAATTTTACATGCATGACCATGTCTTTAATATTAGATCTCATTGTGCAATTGTATACTGTGAAAGGGGGCAAAGGCAGGTATGGTGTGTCAGACAATTGTCTGCAGTGGGCTCTAGGATTCATGGAGGGGAAAAACATTTATAGAAGATCTAAAAAAGGTAAAATTGTATCAGCTGCTTCTTAGAATTATTGCTTTTACAGACCTGAGCTTTGCAGACGCATATTCTTTGCACCATGTAGAACTTTATATAGGAATCTTGTAGCATGCTTTTGAAGGATAGCAATTTTCATACGAATATTTCTCGTATTCTAAAACCAAATGAACTCCTAATCTGAAAATCTAAAACTATGAATTTAGAGATTTATTGTTTAATTGAAACATCTGTAAACTGATTGTTAGATCAATTGTTTTTCCTTCTTTCATCTTCAATCAGCCTTTATCAACTAGTTTTTTTTTTACAGTGTTTAGATGTGAAATCATTTTTCTGTGCATATGACCACTTAATATGCAATATAATATGCAACAGGCTGCCTGCAAATGCAGATATTTTATTAACATGTGCATAGTTGCAGACTGGTATAGCATAAAGTATTTGAGTTTTTCAAAAATCAATGCCTGTATGTTTATGTAAAGACAAATTTTACATAGTACAAGAACATGGTCAATTTAAAGAGCAAATACTCTGTCAGACTAAACCTGCTTAGCTATGATATATCTTAGTTTTCTATCACCTGCTGGCATGATTGTTCAGCTGCAAAGGATGTAGTGACTCCTTGAGTGAAAACTGTTGAGCTCTAATGGCAGTTGTTTGACTTGTACACAAAGGTGAATAGGCATTTTTTTCCTGAAGGTGACTCAGAGAAATAGAAGATGGCAGTACCATTTTTCAGTCCTAGTGATTTTTTTTTTTTAATTATCATTTCAGACATGGGAATAGATGAAACGAAAAAATACTTCTAAAATAATATAAAAGATAGACTTTTACCTATAGCCTCTTTGTTATTTGATTCAGATAATTTGCTAGGTGTTTATTTTATGACTGACATAGAAGTTAAGTAAATTTGCTTTTAAATGCAGCAGCTTTAAAAATAGTGCATTCTAAATAAAACAACTTAAAAATAGTGTGTCAGTGATGATACGATATAATATTTTTAAACAGCCTCTTTCCACTCTTCCCCATATGCTTGCCCCTTTAAATAATCAGGAAAAAATAGGTTTACTAGAATAGGAGTAGGCAAAATCAAGCCATAGCATAGCTAAATTTGGCTTATGAAGTGATAGGTCACCTTCTTAGCTGAATTTTAAAGTATATGCTATATTTAGAATTCATGCATTTTGACTGTATATGTCTATTTTTGGTTGAGATCTAACACAAAGCATGAGATGTTAGAGAATAGTGTGGAATGCATAACTTTATGAAAACAATAATTTGTGCAAACAAATAGAATCTGTGCATGTTCTCTGAGTAGCTACTAAGAAGTTTGCCCAATCAGGTTTTGCATGTATGAATACGATGTGAACATATTCAGATGCAGCTATGCTGCTTTATAAAAGTTTGGAAATTATACTTTGGATCCTATTTTTTGCTTTTGATACTTTGTTTTTATACAGAAAGGTAATCAAATTTCTCAGGTCAACACAGAATCATATGGCAGAATGATTGTTAGCCTCCTACCTATTGTAACCTCCTGTGCTTTGTAGCAACCATCAGTTATCATCTCCACTGTAAAAGAAGCTTTATTTCATTTTGCAGCTAAGCTGTCCTTTACATCACAAGCAGGACTACACAAAAAATAATATTTTGATTGCCTCCATCTTCATTCAGGGAAAACTCCAAGTGTTTCCTTTTTTCCTTTTTGTTTTTGTGGGGTTTTTTGTTGCTGTCTAATTTTTTGTTCTGTTTTTAAAGATGTATTTATATGAGCAGAGCCAGTGTTTGAAATATTTTGATTAAGTTATACTCTACTTTCATCTAGATGAAATGTTTTCTTAAAAAAGGGAAGTGGTGAGTATATTAAAAAACTTTGGTATGCTTTTCCAGTCCAGATGGAAAAATAAGACAGTTTTAGTCATGAAGTTTCAAAGGGAAGGAGCATTAAGACTGCAGAGAGGCATATGGATGTAAGCAGGAGTCTGATATGCAAGAAAACAAAGGTGGTTTGAGTGTAGGTGAGAAATGCTAGAATCCCGATTTATACACATTTACACAGTTCTGTCTGAACTATAAACCCATGACCAAATGATCTTATTCTCTAGCACCTTGTTCTAACTCTAGGGATTGTGTAAATCATGGATCAGCAGCTTAATAACAAGGATTCTGTAACTGCCACACTTCCTAATGTTTGAATTTACAATTCATTATTATCAAATTGAGAAGAGTGGTAGGAAACAAATAGCTACCTACAAATAAATAATGAATGTTGTTGTGGATTGAGTGTAAGCAGATCATGCTTACCTCAAAGTACAGAAAATTGATTTATTCAGCTTAAGAGTATCGTTAAATGAAGCTTCATCATCTTGATGAGTTAAACATCACATCACAAAGATATATTTCAATGCCATGTTTCCACATGAAACAAAGCTGAGGGGACAATTTTTGTCCCTGTTGTAGGCATCTTGTCATCTTGGGTGTTTCCAGAAGCAGTTTCTATTCAGCTTTTTGCAATGAAGTGTTGGGAAACTGAAAGAGCCTCATGGAATGCAGGACAGATGAAATCAGTGCTGGTAATCTTGAAGGCTTTTCATCCTTCTGAAGCTGGAGATGTTTTAGTGCCATCTCATTGCTTTTGCGCAATGTTTTCTGCAGAACTGGAAAACGAGACTAAACAATGACAGAGGCACAGGCAAACACAACCATGGGGCTGGCATCCAGCTTTATGTTTTGTTCCTGAGTTCCAACCTGTCTTCTCTGCAGTGTGAACTTCTGTCTGTTTGAGGAATGTATATGCCTATGTGAAAATCAACTAGGGTTATTAAATGTCAATTTAATTTATATTTTCTCTATTTCAAGAGGAAAAAAAATGGATGTAGGGACATACCATTTGCTTGTGTTGAAAGAGAACTTCTAATCCACATCATCTGCCCCCCCATCCTAGTAGGACTAGCATCAATATATTTTGAAACCTAGTTTCTTGTCTTGTAAAGCTCCATCTTCTTCCTATAATCAGCTCCATGACCCTTAGAATTTAATGTTTATGTTCTCTCCTGTGGCTTAAGTCCATTATTTTACCTGTCTTCACTGGATAAATATCTGACTTGCTCTAGGCTATGTCTGTCCTTAGGCTTCTGGAAGAAAAATTACAATAAATTCAACAGGTACTGCTGTCTTTTCAACATGTATTGGATAAGTTATCATTCAATAGGATTAGTACTGGCATTCTCTCTCATTTTCATTTTCTTTTTCCTATGCCACAATCTGCAGGTCCACTGTAATTATACTTCGAAGTTCCCACATTTTTATCTTCCTTTCACACAGACACACACAAAAGGCAATACAAGATGGAGAATGTTCTGTCTTAAAGATGAGATTCATACACCTGGGACATTTGCACAGTGATTCAATGCCTGGTTTAAGGCATGTGTAACTCCAAGATGAGCTCCCATGTGTTTTATCCAATGTATGGAGAAAGTTAGAGTATATACTCCCAGCCTGCCATTTTCAGATCAGAACTGATTCAAAAAGCCAAGCTAAAAACCTCTGCCTCTTGAGATAGTCTTCTGCCTATACCGTTAGATTGTTTTTAAATCAGAGTTTGGAGTATGTTGTAAGAGATCTCATGGTCATGGGAGAAGTTCATTTATGTACCATTTATGCATCCAGAAATGAGATTAGCAAGCTGTAGGGCAGGGGAGGTGCTTACAGGGGATAGTGAGGACAGAGGAATGGTTTAAGCTGTACCTTTCAAAAGGACATGGCTGCTGGGGGGAGGGGGAGGTACCTGAAGGTACTCAGCATTCATAGCCACAAACCATGCCACAGAGATGTCTGGCAGTCCTTTTGTGCAAGAAAGCTCAGGCAACGTGCTTCCTTTTCCTCTTCTTTCTGCTTGTCTGAATAGCACAGTTCTTAGAAAACTCGGTGGCAGGAAGAAAATAAACACTCAAAGTTTGTCCTCAGGTTTTGAAGCTTATTTTGGACCTTCCAGGAAAATGCCCTACCTGTTTTGAATCAGTGAAAGGGGCTGCCTATATGAGTTGGCATGAAAAGCATTACGTGTCTGGTGAGGGAGGCAGATTCCGAGTTCTGTCACGTGAAGCTCCATCGCTGTCTTCTTTTGTCGCCGGGGCTTTTGTCGCCCTTCGCAAACGGGCCCTGTCGGTCTCCGCTTCAGCACCATGGCCAGCGCCGCGGGCTCTGCGCCGCCGCAGCCACCCCCGGGGCCGGGGAACGGGGCGAGCGCTTCTTCCCGGCTCCTCTTGGAACTGACGCCCCCCCGGGCCTCCTCTGTCGGGATTTACATGGCTGGAACATACACCCATGTTCGCAGCCTTCTCCCGAGGTCCTGTAAAACAGGGAGACAATCTACTAGTGCTCACATAAGTTTGCGAAAGCAAAGTTTTAAGTTGCTGTAGTTGTGCTGGCCTTACAAAGGCTAGTCTGATTTCTATCAGCTAAAGATTAGCTATTACGAGTGGTTTCCCCACCTGATCCATTCTTTTAACCTCTACTGGCTTTACTCTGAAGATAGTAAGGTCTTCAAGCCTTAGTCTATCAATTGTATTAGGATTTCTTCATGTACCGTAGAGAAAGAACACTCTTTATAAATGTATTTTTAAAAAAAAAAACAACACAAAACAACAAACGCAATCCACCAAACCCCACCACCTTCCGTGGAAATCTATTGTGAGTAATCAAGTGCTTTGGGCAGGTTTATAACAGATACAAACTGACTTCACTTGAGGTTCTGTCACGTTGATTTATTTCTCTGATAAATAGTCCTTTAGTATAGTAGCTAATCTTACATGGGCTTATCAGGAAAGATCTGGCTTCCTGGATGGAAATCGTTCAATCTGGTTGCTGCTGAATACTGCCTGAAAATGTTGACTAATTCTACTCAACTTACTGGTGACAGACTTGCTTTAAAATGTGCTTTGAGGCATAAGAAAATCTTCCATTTTATTCTTGATATTGGAGAGATGTGATGGATTTGGTTGTCCCTTTTAATAAATGGGTTGGGTTTTTTTTTGCATATTCTTACAAGAGAAAATGCTAAACTCTCTTTTCAGGTCTGCCCTGAAAAATCTTGTTCAGTACTGGATCCATGGAATTTATTTATTTTTTGTGCTCACCTCTGAAATTACCAAATATGTTTCTGCAAAATCCATAAAAGTTAGATGTCAAGCAAGGATATATTCAAAGTACTGGGCAGTATTTTAACCACTCATGTTCCTGTACTTGTCATCAATCACTTTTAGGTTAAACTCCAAACTGGTCTTAAAAAATAGTCGTGTTAATAGCAACATTTCTTTTGGTCATGAAGCATAATGTGAAAGGAACTTTTCCCAGAACCATGTTTTCATTAAGAACTGAATCTGCAAAGCACTGAGCATCCTCAGCTGGAGTAGGAGGTGAAGCTGCTCAACGATTCCCAGGTGGTGCTAGCATTTTTCAAGATTGAGACTAAATGGCCTGATACTTTCCTTTCAGAGTACCAAAAATATCCAGATGTATGCTCTGCCTGACTTTATGTTATGGCAAAGTACTGCTCATAAATGTTATAGTTATAACTAGCTCTTATGACTTTCGTTTCAGGCCTTCTATTTTGAGGAGTATTTGAAATGACTGTAAAAAATACTCTGAACCAAAGTTCAGCATATGACTCCACTGCCAGAAGCTGCTAAATGTTTTATTAGAGTTCAAGAAAATTTATTTGTATATTTTCCCCTTTTGTTTAGAGAGGATAAAGTTAATGATTTTGTTTTGCTTTGTCTGCTCTTCTTTTTATTATCTTATATATGTTTCTCTGTATATGCCAGAGCTATGCTTAATACATCTGAGGCCAGATTCACTTCTGCTACAGGCCGTAATTTTTGTCGCGTGTCATTCTAGTTTTACATCTTGATTAGTCTGAATGTCTTCTGCTGTGTTGTGAGATCCAAATCTGACCATTGGATTTAACAGAAAGTTATTGTAAAGTGGACATTTATCCGTACAAAAGATGCAGTTCATGTAACAGCACTCTTATAGAGCCGTTGCATACAAAGTCACTGCAGTCATGGGTTTTATTAATTTACTGCCCTAACATCTAATTTGTGACTTGCTATTAGCTGGTACTTGGTTACATTATACTCCCTCATGGTTAGTACTAAAGCAGATTGCTCTGGTTTAACTTTTTTTTTTTTTAGTTATGAGAGGCTTTGTGGTACACTTGCAGCTTTTTTTGGTAATGTGTATGATCTTGCATGTTTTCTCAAGGTTGGGGAAAATTTGCTCGCTTGACCCGTGCCCTCACAAGCAGCCGAGGTGTGCTGCAGCAGCTTGCTCCGAGCGTGCAGAAAGGAGAGAACGTTCACAAGCATTCACGACTTGCTGAGGTAACATTTTCTTTCCCTTAGAAAACCTAAAGAAATGCTTTTAACCTTTGTGGGTACATTGTCCCTGCATGAGACAAGAACTGTCTGTCCCCCTTGGCCTGGGAATGTGAAGCTTGGTGGCAGGCATGGGAACTCAGAGTATGGCGCGTGCTGTGAAACGTGTCCCATGACAATGGAATAGAAATAAGTGTCAAAAAACTTCATGTAATCTAATTACAGTGTTGTGTTCCATATCTCAGCAAAGTCTTACAATAGCGTTATTATTTAAATAATAATTTCTTGCTTAGTTTCTATTCTGCTGAGGATCTCAGTGTTAGTAGAATCTTGGACTATTCACTTATGTAAAATTGAGATGAGAAAAACTCAGGGTAGTACAGAAGGAAATTCTGGAGAATCCTTGATACAGTTGTTCGCTGCATTCATTTATGTCTAGTTCTTTTTCAGTGGGATCCCAGTCCTGCTTTACAAACTGGTTAAAACATATGGTTGAGTTAGTGGTTTTACAGACAGAACAGCTGTGAGACGCCACAAGCAATGCTGCAGACAGATTAGAAAAATGAAACATTGTGATTTAAGTAGGCCCTCAAAGTTTTGAGGAAATCTCCAGGTGGAGAGGGCTCCTTGAAGCACTTAGGGTTTTAGGGCTTTCGCCATTAGGGGGAGAGACTGTCCCAGGTTTCCCGTAGCTGCTTCCTGGGCCAGCGGCAGGGTCTCCCTGGTCTAAAAACAGTTTAGGGGAAGTCTTGGTATGGTGTTAATGACAGCATGGCCAATATAAGATGGCACTCTTGTATCACCTATTGAGGTGAATGCCATGGTGGCAACTATTACTCTTGTCATTAATTCTTCATCTTCCTGTGTAGCTGGAAGTGTCTGCCATTGATGGGCTCCATGAGGTCTCTGTATAGTCAGTACTCTTGTTAATTTTGCCCTGTATATGTCTTAGTTTCTATGCAAAATAAAAAACTCCCACCCAGACCTGTACTATTACCACATGTCATGATGAAATTCTCACAGACAGGAGCTTACCTATTCAGTATTTAATACAGATGCCCTCAAGAACAGAAAGCTGATTGCTGTTGGAAGTGCAGCAATAACATAGCTCATACTAGCAGAGGGGAGGGGCAGACATTCACATGGGCACTATACTGTAGGAATACCACGTGATTATCACATATCCACCCTGAAGTCACTTTAATGTCCTGGAATTTGGACTAACCTCCCTCCTAATCCCACTCAAGGTTTAGCATCAAATAATCCTTCCTTCTCTTTAGATGCCTATCCTTGAGTGTTAGTTCACACTAAAATGTAGGCAGTAGAATGTAAGGCAGAGGGCCTTACATTACAGTTATTCTGTTTGGCTCAGTGAACCTCTGGACCTAAGTGACTATACATTACTGAAACTTCTTGCAGGCTGATACGCTCAACAAGTCTTTGCAAGTATTCTAGCTGGCTCAGCTGCTAGATTCATTACAAATAATAAAGGGCAAGTGTATAGTTTATGTGTCTGAAATGAGTTTCTTTAATTGCAGAGTGAATATTGCAGTAATTATTTTAAAAAGAACATTAGCCCCAACTGTGATGTTAGATACCTTGTTGTGTATCTGCTGTAATTCCACTTAAGTCAATAGAACCACGCTAGAGAAAAGCAGAGTGCAGATAATCATACAGACAAGCCTGCTTTTCTTCCTTTGAAGACACATGGGGTACCAGGCTTCTTATTCTGGAAAGATCTCTTGATAGTATTGAACATGAGATCTCTAACTGTTCCCTGTTGTATTTTCAGTATTTTTTTTTCTTTATCACTGCAGTAGCCTATTTGAAATCTTAAGTTCAAATTAAAATTAATCCTTTTTCTTTACCTAATCACTATGGCATTTCACATCAATCTTGTTTGCTTGAGAAGGCTCTTCATTTATTGGGGTATTATTTGTGTTGCTCTTAGTTCTTTATCGCTTATATTTTTTGAATATCTGAGGAGTCAGCTGTGTCCTAGAACATGAGTGAGGCAAGTACCTGAGTGAGTACAAACACAAAAGAGGAGCCTGCCACAAAAGCTTACAATTTCTTTAACTGTTTATGAAATACTAGTTTAAGAAAGGTGTTAGTGACAAACCTCTTTGTTTTATCCACAGGTTGTGGATAACACAAGCAATGTCTGTTAAGCCTCAGTCTCAAACTTTTGTCAGTATATGTAGATTTGTTTAGCCTGACTTCTCTATTACCAGTCATATGAAAACTGCTTAAACTAATTGTGCAATTAATGCAAGGGTGTTAGGTAACTCTGAGAGTACATTTTGCAATAAGAATATAAAGTAATTGATATATTTCTGTGGCTTTGTCACCAAAGAGCTGATTGTAGGAATCATTCCTCCTGATCACTGCGTAGTACATGTGTCCTCTGCACCTAAAGTGTTAGCTGATGTATTCTGTATTTACCAGGCAGTTCTGGGTAAACAAGATTGTGTCATGATCTAAAAAATGTGATAGTTATGAGAAATAAAAGCAGAGAAATTGCAATGGTGCTTAGCAGCACTGCTTAATAATGGAAGTTCTGGCATTTTTTTTTTTAAACCTTGTTTACCAGGGACTTATAACTGCCATTAAAATCTACTTCAGGTTGAGGCTTAGCACCTAGCCCTTGGCTTGGGAGCAATTTGTGTGGGTTCCTGTGAAAACAAAAGCAAGGGAGAGTGAGAGAAAGCAAATATTTGTGGTTGAAAACACAAAAGGGAGAGATTAAGCTGAAAATGAGTGATTGTGTGGGTTTTTTTTCCCCTAGTCATGAAGTCTTAAAAATAAATAAATCATTGTAACCACTTTTTGATGCACTTTTATGAGTCCTGACTAGTGATATATTCACCATTTTTTAACAAATCTAGGATGATTTTTTTTTATTTTGTTATGTTAAAAAAAATGAATGCAGCCTTGTGAAACCCATGATGAAATTTGTCATTTCTGCTCTTGAAATAATATTCTCCGTCCTTGGAGAGCTATTAAAACATCATGCATCATTACCACAAATAATAAACGCAGATAATACAACTGTAGTGGCTGATGAATCATAAGTAATTGGAATAATACTTTCATTAATAACTTTCTGAAACAAATATTTCTTTTACTATGGTATAACTGTATAATAAAGAAAAATCTTCCAAAACCAGGGCTGTTTCCTTTATTTAGAAAATGCTAGTAATGAAATATTTGTTCAGTGCACATGGGTTGAAGCTCAGCATATTGGTTTATATAGCTGTGTACATTTTCTTCATGGTTATTTTTATATTCATCTCTTGGGTTTTTCTCCTCTCCAGGAGAAGTACCTTTACAAGAATTTTGAATCTAGTGAGTTCATGTGGTGGGGGTAACCACACCTGACTGCTTCAGGTTTATAGCTCCTAATATCCAGGCGACTTGCATGTGTCTGCAAGGATGATAAAGAAATAGGCTGTGTGTGGCCCTTGGTGTGAAAAGTGGCAAAAAGAGCTCTTCCAGTGCAGCAACCTGACAAAATCTGGAGTTTTAGCACTAAGCCATGTGGACCTCTTTCCGTTATTTTTGTACAGCACTGAGCTCTATTGTTGTAATTAATGCTAAAAGAACATGCTTGTTCTCTGAGATAATTAAGCTTCATTATGGTGTTTTTTCTCTTCCTTCAATGAAAAGGAAAATGTGGTGCCTTTGAACACTCTTGATTGGTAGTCCAGGAGGCTGCAAAATCTTTGCTAGTCTGTAAAGCAAGTTGCCTTTATTGGAGAGGTAGCGTGAGCTTGGACCAGCTTTTTCCATTTCAAGGTGTGAAATGACAGTTCATCTCTCTAGCAATGCCAGCAAGATCTTGGAGTGGTTTTGCAAGGTGTGCATTAATGATGTAGTGAGAGGGAGCCAGGGCTAGGACTTGTTACCCCCACCCCACCCAAACAAAAGACTGGAGACATCCAAGGCTTGCTGCAGGTGGTTATCTCCACTTTGGGACTGGTTGGTATCCCTACATCATTCCCCGATGCCCATCTCCTGTCCTGTCCCTGCCCTTCTTTTTGATTCACACCCACACTGCTGGTGCATATCCTTCTACTGGAGACCAGCTAAAGCCGTGGCCCCTGGTCTTTTTAAATAGCCATTGCTAGAGCTTAACTGGAGACTCTAAGGTGGTAGTGGAAGTTCAAAAGACTTATAAATAAGGTTGCTAGCCATTCAGATAGTTTGAAGTACATTTACTTTCGAAATAAAAACAGAAGGAGACATCAATTCAGTTATTTTCCTGTGATGTAGCCCTTTAAATCTCAAACAAGTTAGGGGAGAGTGCTCTGTACTTGGTGATGACATTTTAAAATGCTGAAGCGGCAAAGTAGTTCATTTTCTTAACAAGTTGAAACTAGAAGTCTGTTTTTCTCTGCTTTCAGTTCAGTTTTACATCCCTGCAGTTCCACTGGCTTTAGTGTATTTTTTTTTTTTTTTGACTTACAGCAAAATAACAGGCACTGTAATTTAGCTCCTTGTTTATTGCCAAACAGAGATTGTTCTTACCTTTGTTCCTGTTATTCAGGTATATGGGAATACATTATTACATTTTCCATTAACTTTAGTTTTGATGATGCAAAATTTCCATGAGTTCTTGGAGTACAAAAAATACAGTGGTGACCAAAATGGAGTGCATTTTACAATTCTCAGTCTAGATGTTATGTATACATAAGAATCAGTCTCTGACAAGAACTAGCAAAATTTTTTTTTCAGTGATTCACAGTTGAAGCTGCTATGCTGATTAAGATGGTTACCAAAATGTTTAACTTTTTCATGTCATATCAGAGGCTACAAAAACAAGATTTAGGAGACACGTGGTTGCAAAAGCATCAATTATGTTTTCACCTTGCATTTAAGGGGTGATACAGTCTCCCCATGCTAGTAAAATCTCAGCATTACAACTGAAATCCAGTTAACTGACTAAAAATATTACTATGTGATAGAAAGTGCTTAGTTTTGCTGATTGGTTATTCCACTGAGTGAATATTGCAGAGGAGACTCCTTGCCCAGTGAAGCTTATTTCAGGCTTGGGATCTTATGAGCTGCTACTCATACAAATCTTCATAAAAGCCAGTAATAGCTCAGTGCTTTCTAACTGATTCAGGTACTGCCATGGTGTTCAAAAGGGAGAGCAGGAGATATTTGCAATAATGAACTTGGGCTAGAGCTTTTGTCAAGAAAAAACATCCTAACGTTTGTCACTGGAGCTGTAAAAAAAGCCCTGAAGGGAACGCTGCTCTGTGTACACACACTAACTTAGTGCACAATCTGTGCCTCTTCCAGTCACTACCAGTGACTTCTAGGGATTTCATTGGCTGGCCAGTGCCTCCTGCGGGGAAGAAAATGCTTCTGTCTTGTGCTACTCCTCTCACCACAAAGCAACTTTTTAAATTTTTACTATTTTTTTTTTTTTTGTAATATGGAGAACCTGGGTGAATAAGCGTGAGGAGTGGCAGAGAATGTAATACTGCAGTGGACATGTCTGAGTCCTAGTTAGGTCTGCAAGGGTTCTACTTAGAAGAAAATGTTCCTTTTCCCTCTTTGCTGTCATTCTAGAAACTCAGTGAAACAAAAATACCCAGTTCTCTCCATTTTAATTTTTTTTTTCCAAACTGTTGATGCCTCTGTGGTAACATGCAGGTATCTCTGAGCAGGTCATGCTGGAGAACATACTGGGCTCAAAGTCAGCAGGCTTGCAACTCCCGTTGACATTTACATGTGGGCAAGGGCCTGTGATCTGACAATGTCTCACTTCTGTTGTGCACAAGAGTAAGTGAGTATGTGAGGTTCAAAGCAGCAGGGAACTTGATCTGAGGCTGTTTTGTCCAAGTAGGACTCTTGTAGCTGATTGTTTTCTTTTGTCCTCTTTGGCTTAATCTGTTGGAAAAAAGCCCACCAGTTCACAAAAAAAAAAAAAAAGAAAGAATAATAAAAAACGCTCAGGCCTGCAGATAAAAATGCGTGTCTAAATAATTGACGTTAAAAAAGCTGAGATAAAGAGCATGAAAGGAAGACAACCTCCTATTATAGCTATGTTGTCTGATCTTTTCCCTGAGAAGGTGGCTGTTTAATTTCCTTCCCTGCTCCCTATTGCTCTTAACTCTGTGTAAATAAATGTGAAAAGGGAACCATGCTTCTAAATAGTTCTCCCAGGTTCTATGAGTTTGGCGTTAGCAAACACATCTTAATCAAGCAAACCTTTATCTTCCTTTCAGGTTTCACCCATAACTCATCCAGGGAAAATTTCATTTTAAAATTTAACTTATCTTTATTTAGAGACAGTTCCTTCATGTTGGTTTCACCCTCTTGTGTACTGATAGATGTAAACAAACACATTCTCGTTCATAGGTATGTAAAAGAAACTTTAGTTCTCAATAATTGAATACATGATAGTACTCTTTTTGCACTAGTGTGCAGAACTGGGGTGATAGTAGGCTTAAAATAGGCAGCATTGATCGAGATTGCAGTTATGCCAAACACTTGGTGCATGTGCTCAGCTTGAGGTCTGGGGTTTAAAACACATGCTAACAGATCATCTTTTGCTGTTGCACTTTTCTGAATTCAGACCTTTTTTGAATTCACAATTCAGAATACAACTGCATTGTAACTCAGCTGTACACCACCAGGTAGTGAAGACAGTGATCTTCTCTCAGTGAAAAGTTTAAGTTCAAAATAAGTTTATTGAGGCTAATTATAGATATCCGTGGGCTTTGGTCCTGCTTAGCCCAGAGAAGAGGAACAAAGGACCGTACGTTCATGAGAGATTGTAGTGTAAGACTATTTCAGATACAATATAGTGAAGAGTTAAACAGACAATGTTGAAAAACAGTGTGGTCCAGTGGGACCGGTGCTGGACTGGAACTTGGAAGTTGCAATATTGTTCCTGGTTTTGCCATTGATTTCTATTTGCAACTGCCTTCCTGCCCATCATTTATCCATCTTGTGCATTTAAACTGCTGAAGGTGCTGTATCTTCTTTAAATGTCTTGGAGACCCAACACATTAGGCCTAGTGTCAAAAAATAATTAAAGGCATTAAAAGAAGCAACAACTGTTCTTAGGTTGATGCTGTTTTGTTTAACAGAATACTTATCCTGACTTGCTTACTGTTTGGTGGTGATAAAAGGAGTTAGTGGACGTATATTTTATCAACTGTTGTACTAAGCTTTAGAATCTATAATGTGAATAATAACATTAAAAAATTAAGCATGTTTTCTTTTTCTCTTGAAATCTCTGTGACTACAGGTATTGCAACTGGGCTCTGAAATTCTTCCGCAGTACAAACAAGAGGCACCAAAGACTCCGCCGCATATAATTTTGCATTATTGTGTTTTCAAGACTACCTGGGACTGGATCATCTTGATTTTAACCTTCTACACTGCTATTTTGGTCCCTTACAATGTCTCCTTTAAAACCAAACAGAACAATGTGGCATGGCTAGTAGTCGACAGCATTGTAGATGTCATTTTTTTGGTAGACATTGTGCTTAATTTCCATACCACCTTTGTGGGGCCAGCAGGAGAGGTGATCTCTGACCCGAAGCTGATTCGCATGAATTACTTGAAGACCTGGTTTGTGATCGATCTGCTCTCATGCTTGCCGTATGATGTCATCAATGCATTTGAGAACGTTGATGAGGTCAGTATACTAGTTCCACTTCCACTCATTAATTATTATGTAATGGCTGGGGGGAGGTGGCGGAGAGAAGAAAGAAGTATATACTTTTAAATATATAGAATTAGTGTATGTATGCCTCTATTACCTGCCCTCAGCGCACATAGAAGTTTGCTTATGCGTCCTAACCAGATGGGTTCGTCTTCAGCTGCACTGGGAGAGGCTGAGGTTTTTGGTGTCAGAAATCTGTGTTTATTTTCCTTCATTCTCCATCCTCAGAGTTCAGGAGGACAGGCAGAAGCAGACAGCAGAACCTCTATACAGCACTGAGGAAAACTGCTTGATCTGACTTACCGTGAATAGCTTGAACTGCTGGGTCAGGATCATTTCTTGGGGCAGGGTTCTCTTGCTTTCACTGTTGGCCAAACATGTCCACTAATGGCAATTCTTCACATGAACAGTTGGGAAGTATAATACGCTTTTCTCAGCTGCTTCTAATACAATATAGCAGATGGCAGAGAGACAGGCAGTGACTCACTAAATCTTAGACCACCAGAAAGTACTGTGTGGGTACCTGGTGATCCATGCAGCATTGTTTGGCAGCAGTTGTTTCGGAGGAAGGTGAAGCAATTGAAGATACTGTTTTGATGCTTGTTTGGTAATTCCATAGTTAGAAGAAAGGATAGGGAGAAATCTAGAAATCTAGGCTCTTTCTTAATTCTTGCTTATTTCTTTGGGAACAGGTTACAAGCCAGCAAAAGAACTAACATTCAGACACTTTAAAACCACAATAATACCCTGTTTTAACTGCGTGTTCTCCTGTTAGATCAGGCCACCAAGAAAATATTCCTAAACTAAATATATTAAGGTTCCATACCTAAATAGTTCAGAGAGTTAATGAATTGTTAATAAAATTTTAAAGAGGATTTCAGCAGTCCACTTTCTAATTACATGTTATAAAATCTGTACCATCAACTAATCAAGTGTCTGTATTTACCCGTGACACATACTAAACCCATAACATACATACTCATCTTATCAGTGCTTAGTATTTAATTTTTAGCCTGTAAAATGTGATTTTTATGAGTTCCTTTAAAATACACCCGTGTTATAAAGGACAACCTAGCTATTAAAAGAAAATTATGCTAAGTGAAACATCTGGGTAAAAACATAAAACCGCATTACTTTTGTAAAAATACACTACACAGGCTTTTATCAGATTTAAAGTATTTTTCTCAATGACTTGAGGACAAGTAGGCAAACTATTGAATGTAGTCAAAAAACCATGATGTTATTTGATATTTAATTCCCTAGAGAGATTTTCATTTTATAGAAAGCTACAGACTGAAATAACACAAATGAGATCAAGCAAGAAAGCCTTGTGAGACCTGTCCTCAAATATTTGTTTGTCATAAAAAGGACCCACGCTGCAAAGTACTTGGCAGGGCTTTCATGTATTACTTTGCAGTGGCACTGATAAAGCAACAGAGGGAGTTGCCCGATGTCAGTTTCTGACATCTATACTGAGAGTGTGAAAAAAAAAATATTAAAAAACAAAATTAAAAAAAAAAAGAAGCAAGAGACCAAAAAAAACCAAGAAGGAAGCTTTTCTCACCTGCTGCAGATAGTAGCAACCTGCTGCTGAGTTTGCTGGAGGAACATTTTGTAACTGTAGACTGGCGATGTGACCTACAGAACATCCTCGAGGAAAATGTCTATTCCAGGGGCTGTGACAGCCCTTGAGCTGAGCACAGGTGCTTTCAGACTCATAGTAGCAAGTCTGCAGAGAAATTCTTGTTGTGCGAGTTTGAATTTCTCCAGGTTCTCCATCTCAGTGTTGTCTTGTAACAATGAGAAGCTGTTTGGTACTTCAGTTTTCCTATGGCTCTTCAACAGTCTCCTTAATCAGTATAATAGTGTTAGTCTTAGTTATTCTAGCTATTGTGCCCAAGGAAAAAACATTTTTCTTGGTGCTATCCCTTCAAGAGGGTTAGTCTCTGTTTCCCCTAGTGGGTTCTGACGTTTAGCTGGTATAAATCATTGTAGGGTCATTAGAGCAGAGTTTCCGCTGGTGTAAATTGCTGTACTTCTATTAAGGGCTCATAGACTGGTTTACAGGACCTGAGGGGCTTTGCCAGTAATGCCAGCAAAATAACATAGTGCACATCAGGTGGGGATTTAGGACAGTATATGCTGATCACTGTTTCATGAACTGCCTGTAGAGAGAAAGATAGCCTTTTATTAAAGAGGAGAAAAAAAAAAAAAGCAGCCACATTCAATGAGTCTTGGAAGTAGAAAGGCTTTGCCTTATATCTTCTTCTCTGTTGTTTAGAGCATTCCCTTGTGGGTCAAATCCCTTTCTTTCAAACTGGCTGGTTTAAATTTTACCTGTCTCTTACCCTGTGTGGACTACACACCATATTACTTCACAGTTCGATTAAGTAAGCTGCAAGGCTGTACTGCTGAAGTAGCCAAATGGATTGTTAGCTGTGTGTCACTTTAATTTTGCTAAAGGGCATTTCCTTGGATCCATGAGACTGGAGTCAGTAGGTGGCCATGGCTGCTGCAGGATTTTTTTTTAGTCCTAGTGTGAATACTCTTAAAAAAATTGCCAGAGATTAAATAATACCCAGTGTCAACAGTGATGATAAAATGAGATGAAGAATATGAATTACTGTTTTCCTGTTTTGGTGTTTTTCATACGTGATTTAAAAAAGGAGGACATAGAATCCTGGAATAGAATCCTGGATTTGTTGCAGTCCCTATAGTGAAGGGGGACTGGGGCAGGTGGAAGTTCACAGTTTTTTTCCTGCCTGCTGTCATTCTCTGTTAAAAGAAACATCACTGGAGACACTGAGGATGTCATCAAGGAACTAACTTGACAAGTCAATTTGTTTTTAAGAATGCTGTAATTACTGTGATGGAGATGATGAATTGATTTGCAGGGGACATGGGACCTGGAGCTGAGGAAGTGAAAAGCTGTGTATATAGGATGTTGAGGCTCTTTCGGCTGTGTGAAGTTTTGAGACTGTCCCATCACTTAGCTCTTGATAGATTAATAAAGAAACCATGTTTGTCATCTTTAAAGTGATCCATCAATATAAGATTAATTATAACATATGGAACTAGAGTTGATCAATATTTTTGACACGCAGATACCAATTTTTAAAAATTCTGATATTGAATTTTTTTTCTATTTTGAAGTAACTTTTTGTTTTGAAATTTACATCATCATTCCATTACAAGATATAATGGAAAATATTTTCTTGAAACAAAATTGAGTGTGACTTCTATGTTTTTCAGACAGTTTCAAAATTCTTTGGGTTTGTTGCAGTTTGGAAAATTAGTATCTTTTCATTTCATACTTTTTAATATAATTGAAATTCCAGTTTCCTCTCTGCACTGTTGAGAATATTTTTGTACACAAAAAATACTTTGAATTCATTAACTATTAATCAATACAACTATTAAATAACTACAATTAATACAAGAGGCACTTAAGTATGAATAGCTACATTCTACAGATGGAAGAGGAAAGAAAAAACATTAATCTCTTTGTTCAAGGCCATAGAATTAAACATGAGACTATATGAAGCTTCTGATCTCAGGTGCTGCACTCAAAGAGACAGTACAGTATCTCATATTCAGACATGAACGGAATTCTACAAATGAAGGAACAAATAGCTGTAGAGAAATTTCCATTGTTACTCAAATGAAAGAAAAGTTAAAAATGTTTCTCCTGGCTTTTCTTTATGAGAAGCTATGTATGTATATATGTGAGATACTTTCTTGACCTGCCATAGAGCTTCAAGAAAAGAAAATATTCCACTGATTGATGAATCAACTTAATGCTAACCTTAGACTTTCTGCTGCTAAGACAATACATCATGCTGTAGTATAGTTTGAGTAAGAAAAGAAAATATTGCTCTAAAATTTACACAACCCTTAAAACATGTGGTATTAGTCTGTTTTGAATTTGAAGGATCACGATAACATTTGTCAGTAATCTTTTACAGTAATTAGTATTATCCCTCATTTAAGAAAATACCACCTACTTTGGAGGATAATGTTATCTTTTTGTGTTCAGACATCAATCAGTAGATTTAATAAGAAACAGGCTTAAAGAAAATTCCACAACTTTTGCCAAGAACAATGCAATTTAAGACTTTGAATTCCAAAGGCAAGTTGAAGCATATTTTTGCAGTGTCAGCTTGAGCAATTTTATATTGTGGTTTTCAGCCATAATATCATAGGATATAATTTATATTGGAAAAAATTTGACTTATTACATGTGACACTGTTGTTGTGAAATCTCACGGTAGGACTGGAATCCAGTCATGTCACCACCATATAAATCTCTGACATAGGGAGTTTGTAGTAGTAATTGCTATCCGTATTTGAACGGAACACTATGATCAATTGTTGGCTGATGCCAGATTGAGAACCATATATCACTCTTATTAGTTGAGGTAGAAGAGAAATAAATGCATAGTAAAAGATCATCAGGAAAGATGTATCCAATATAAATGATCTAGTGTTCACTTAAGTGGATGAATAAGAGAGAAGCTAGCATGTAGGCAAAGAAGATATACAGCTTTGAAAGGACAAAATTTATGATGATAAAAAAAAGTCCCAGAAAAAAAACTCAATACAGAAGTAATAGAAGTAAATTAAGCTATTTAGTGCTAAGTGAGCATGGTGTAGCTGGAAAGTAAACAGTGCATTGTGAGAGAGGAAAAAATGAATGTGTTGCTGGTCAGATTGTTGGCAACTCTCTGAGGCAGTACTTTTGCAATAGATTAATTTAAACCTTATTAGTGGAATAATCTCTCATGCTAATACAAATTAGCTATCTAGGAATTACTGAAGTAGCTACAGTGAAAAACATGCAACTTCCCTAGACTTGTTTTATAATTTGCTTGCAATAAGGGGAAAGGGAATAAATTATCATATTTATAGTTTTATGGAATGAACAGGGGTCAATAAAGGAAGATTTTGGGTTAGATGAATTTTGCAAACTGGAA